CGTGTGCTCTTCCGATCTCCCCAAAACCCCAAAACCCCTAGTTGATAAACATACTAGAAATCATGAAATCAAAATATAATCAACTTAATATCATTTCCAACCTTTTGGTCTTGAAATTTTATCAAATGACTTTGAAATATCATAATGGCCAACTGAAGGTATTTTAGATGAATTTTTCTAAACGATATCTGTGAACTTAAGATTTTTCCCTTTAGAAATGATATAGCTCACTCTGGGTGCCTAAGTTTTAGACCAAGCATCTTCAGTTTTATATGATACAGGGGAGGGGCTGTTTTTCCTTTCCACATCTCTTTTCTTTAGAGTGAGCTCCATTTCTGTTTCAGGTCTTATTTTTAAAGCTAGAGATTTCTATTTAGTCAGTTCCTAATTTAGTTTAATTTGGAATAATAATTACAATTCTAACAGCAGGATAATGACTAGGTACCTACAATGCATCAAAGACTGCCTCATCCATACAACTAATTTTCTCGAGATTTCTATTTTGAAATGAAACTTAACAAAATCTGAATATTACTATTTATAGCATCCTTTAATCTTAGGTTAGTTATTGATAGTGTATGATCCCACTCCAGGCGTTTATTTAGACATTTTCATTATATCCTCAGCAAACGATTCTCTATATATTGTTATTTGATATATTATTTCCAAGTACCTCTTTTTCTTATAAATTGAAATGTTTTTCTTCATTAGTAAGTTTACTTATGTCTCATAATGCTGTGGACCAGGAATATTTTGTTTTTATTTCACAACTGTAGAGATAAAGTCCTTATTTTTTGACTTGCTTATCATAAAAGTTCTTGGCTTATCAATATATGAGTAATTATCGGGCACATAGTAACCATCTATCCCAAATGAAGATTAATTCCTTGATTAACTTATCATATCTTGGACACTTATGTTTAAGAGCTCTATTTTAAAAAGTTACTCATAAATTAGTAAATAAACATACATTTATTTGATGGACCCTGGTAGAATCTAGATGCTGATTATATGCTATTTCTTGATTTATTAAGAGAGCTATGACTGTTTGACTCTCTATATCTCCCATTTGAGTTAGCACCTTTAATTTTAGGCAAACTATAGTCACTTCTTTCATGCAAGTTAATATCTACATGACTTCTGTTATTTATTGATTCATCCATTATTTTTAGTGGTGAAACTGACAGACTCTGATTGTTATTGTGAACCTCCATTAAAATAAATTAATTTACAAATACCCTTTGCTATCAGATTAAAAAAACATATTTTAGAGTAATGGGGTTTTGGGGTTTTGGGGTTTTGGGG